TTACCCTTTTTGGCATTCACGCATCGAACGCTCGGTGGCGCGCGATTTATACTTAGAGACCGTTTGTTGAAATTACGGTCGATCGAGTACCAGGAGCGCGAAGGCTGTTTCTTGGACGCTCCGGAGGGCCTCGGGGCGGTCTCGAACGCGCCGATTTACGCGCGGCGGGGCAAATATAATGGCACGCAGACGGCGAAAATCGTATCGCGGCTCTCTGTCCCTGGCGAAGTCGAGTGTGTCGCCTAATCTCACGGCCGGTCAAGAATTGCTGCTCGCAGAGTCAACAACCTCGTCGATAAATATCGGCGATAGCGTAAATCAAATTACGCACGCACGCACTCCGTGCGCGGACGTGTTTCTCACTCTCTCTCTCTCTCTCTCTCTCACTCTCTCTCTCTCGTCGTTCGTTACGCCACTCGCATGCCCGCCTCGGCCTTCGCGCCTTCGCTCAATGATCGCGATCACCGCGACCTGGAGTGTGACGGCAGATAAAAGCCATTTGCACGCATTGCCCGAACGCGACGCGCAATCAGAATCGCGCGGGTCCGCGCGATTTGCGTGGATACGATCGGAATCGGTCAAGTATCGTTTAGAGCCCACAAAAGAATTGACGCCGCAGAAGTGATGAGAGCCGTAAAGCCATTAAGCGAGTACGTCCGGAGTTATCGTTTAATGAAGTTGTTTAAATTAACTCTCGCACGCCACGGAGAACCATCGTAGCGGTACATACTTTATATATAATATATGTATGTATTTGTCCGGCAGATATCAAAGCCGTTTTAGCTGCCGGAAATATTCGTTCGAAGGGCCACCGCGTGGCGGCACGGCCGAAAATGTTGTCCGCGTGTTCGTGAAGACACAGCAGTGATTCACCTAGTTCACATTAAGTCACTAAACTAACTCGTTAAAAGTGGTCTCTCTGTTTACGATAATTCGTACAAATATGTCACCTTACGCGTCACTCGAATTCCCTCTTTCGACTTTCAAGGAAAAACTTTTCGAAAGTGTGTCCAAATAATAAAATTGAAATTAAGCCAGCGGCACACGACGCTTCTTCGCTTGCTGGTTCGCGTGCACCTTTGCTGGCTAGTGAGAGCCAAGGGATTCCACGTGATAGGTCGGATGAGTTGAGGTCGCATCCTGATTGGCTCTCACCAGTTACTAGCTAGTAAAGGTTGCACGCAAGCAAACCAGCGAGCAAGAAAGCACCGTGTGCCGCTGGCTTTAGATTTGCCGCGCTGGGGCGCTTTTCGCTTCCGTCGCGGCGAGAAGCTTCGAACGAGAGCAGCCCGTGCCGTTCCGTGACTTGGAGATAAAATATTGGGTATCTCAGGTCGTTCTCTTTCGTGAGATACTCGCGTATGTATCTCGAGCATACATCATTCTGACATATCGAAGTGAATTATTAAAAAAATCGATACGGGGCACGAAAATGTACTAAAAATAGTTTCTGAAAGTTCAATATTTGGATTATGATCTGATATACAGGGGAAGATCGGTACACGGAGAGAATTTTCTCTTGAAATTTATCCTGAAAATCATGTAATCGTGGGACAACACGGCATTTCGAAGAACTTTATGTAAGTTTTGTGAAATTTTATCGTACGTTTCACTAGTAATTATACTTACAATTAGTATACATTTTACCAGTCGAATGTATGGTAAAAATTCAAAAAACTCTCATAAAATTCTTCAGAATGCCACGTTGTGCCACGATTATGCGATTTTCAGGGTCAATTTTAAAAGAAACTTCTCTCCGTGTACGCATCTTATCGAACTAAGGTATCGTTATCTTATACTTAATCAATCTAAACCGAGGGATAAACTGCTGGCCAAAATCGTGTACACCAATGCCCAGTGGGGCATTACTTTATCTTCTTTTATCTTCTTTTATCTTTTTACCTTTTGAAATTCTTCATAACGCCCTAGCAAGGCCAAATAACAGCCACTAATGCCCAAAAAATGTCCGAAATCTGTACACCACAATGTCCTCAGCGGTTTACCCCTCGATCTAAACACATAAATTATTGTTATAGTGTAGGGAGGTTCAGATTCAAACCCTGGCTGAGGTAATATTTTTCGCAATAAATTTTCTGTATTAAAAAGAAGGGGGGACCGCTTAGGGCATTGTGGTGTACAGATTTGCGGCATTACTATGCATTTTTTGGGCATTAGTTTGGGCACTAGACCTTGCTGGGGCATTATAAAGATTAAATAAGATGAAACAAGATAAATAAGATAAAATACGATAATAAGATAAAGTAATGCCCACTGGGCATTATTGGGCATTGGTGCACAAGATTTTGGTCAACGGTTTCCCCCTCGATTAAAAATGCCTATGATCAAGAAAACACTGACATTGTCAATTATTATCGCCTATAGTAGGTCTTAGTGTTGTGGCCATTGTCGATTTCGCGAGTGACAGGATTTTCTCGCGGGAAACGAAGAT